AAAATCAGAGAAAATTACGAAAAAAGACGTTAATTTGATGTACCGTTTGTGCAAGCTAACATATGATAGTGCGTTGGGTTGCCTGTGCACCGGCTGCAGGGGCTGCAGGTGCTGAAGCCGCGGGGCGCTGCCACCACACTACCGCCACCTACCCCGCTCCTGAACCCCTGCAGCCAGTGCATAGGCAACCCAACGCACTGCCATATCAGCCTGGACACCCGGTACGCTGGTATACGTAGTTTAGCACCCTTCGGACCCATACTCTAAGTAGCGCAAACTCATTCCCGTCTTGGAATTAATAAAACATTCCGGTAAAGCTAAAATGCAGAAGAATACGGGGAACAAGAAAACGGAAGTCACCGTGTTAAAGCATAGTGATTTCCGTTTTCTTCTTCCCCGCATTCTTCTGCATTTCAGCTTTACCGGAATGCTTTAATACACCACCGAAAACGCTTTACACCACTTTACACACATGTCCTTTCGCCGTTTTCTACACAACAGCCCACCCTCAGGCGCGTCAGCTGACCCTCCCGCTTGCCCGGTATGAGAAATACTACCAAATCCCCGAGGAGCCGTGGCCTGGCCACGCCGCCACGGTCGGCTCTGATTGGGTTAGACGGGTAAAAGCAAAGCAAAGCAACGTCACGGCGGCGGCGCGTGGCGCATTTCAATCGCGCGGGGCGCGCTGCGACCGGACAAAAGCGCCGAGGAGAGCCGAGCGGAGCCGAGCAGCCGGCGGGCAAGTGCGTGGGCGCGCATGATATCATGGGGGAATACTGATAAGGAAGGCTTACAGTCGGCTGGACCGGTGTGCGCAGCAGCAGCAGCAGCAGCAGCGCGCTGATTTCATTTACTTGCAATGAGGTACTGACCGTAATCCCATCAGGCGTTAGGGGCGGGGGAGGCAGGCGCGGGTACACACGCGGGGTGACTCTGCACGTCATATCGCGATGACAAGGCGGTGTGTGTGTGTGTGTGGGTGTATGAGAGAGAGAGGGAGGGGGGACAGGCGCAGCGGGAAACTTTACTTTTGCAGACGAATTCCGTCGACCGTCAGAGGGGTTTGCAGGGTGGAGCAGGCCTGCTCACACACACAGACACAATAAGAAATACAGCCAATGCCATACTATGCAAGACACAATCTGATTGGGGCGTAAAGAACATTTATTTTACACATTCAGAGCACACCGGTATATTCTGCGTGAGTGACTAAAATATAGAGAAGACGCAGGGGAAACATAACATGTCAATGACGCAAGTAAAAACTCAGCAAAACTATGCCAGCAATTACAGAAATAAAGAGATAAAAGAGTAAATAAAACGATGCATGAACGCGATCAGGTGCCTGAAGGTCCGGCTTGGTTTGCCGGCGCCGCCGCCGCCTGGCGCGCGGCTCGCGCCTCCGCCACCATCGCGTCGAAGGCTCTCTTGTGCTCCTGCTCGTCGCCGGCGGCCAGGACGGTGCCGAGGCGCTCCTGGCACTCGGCGACCTCCTGCTGAGCGCGGGCCAGCTTCTGCTGCGCGCCGGCGAGCGCCGCCCTGGCCTCGTCCTGCGCCTGGCCCAGCCCGACCTGCCGGTGGCACAGCACGAAGCACGGCGAAAAGCCCGGGTGCGTCCAGCAGTTGAGGCACCACTCCGTCCTGAAAGCGAAGAAAAGCTTTATCAGACACGTTCTTCAAACCAGACTTAAACTTTTTAATACAGGGGCAATTTAGCTCAGCAAAAGAGAAAGTCCCGTCCTCCCAGTAGGATTCCTGTTCCAGGCGCGGTTTTTAGGGGAAAGGACCCCCCCCCCCCCCCCGGTCATAGAAAGCCGCCAGAGAGGTAGGCAATTCGCGAAAACTCATGGATGTAGGCAACCCACAGCACTCCCCTTTCCCCACAGGTCAGCTAACTCGTGACTTGGTCCGAAAAAACGCGCCTGGGGTGTCGAACAGTAAGAAACGAATGGGCTGGGTGTCAAGGGTGCAAAAAAGCCACGCCTTTACTTACTTTGCAAGAGGGGCAAGGTCCCTGTTCATTTCCTCGCAGCTGGGAAAACCGTCGTCTTCGTCTTCTTCATCCCCCCCGAGTGCCTTCAGCATGTCGTTCGCCTGCAGCATGGCCTCGATGAAGCTCTTGTCGATGTCGATGTACCGGCCGCGCTTGCGGAAGAGCCCCGAGCCCGCCGCGCCGCGCCCGCCGCGACCACGACGTGGAGCACGACCTCCCCGCTTGCCACCTCCCAATCCGTTCATCCTGGCGTCGAGAAGAACCTGCAAACAAAAACGCGTGTGAGAGACGCGAACAACGCAACTTCAAGAAGCACAAAAGTATAACGGACACCCCCCGGGACATCGCGAAGCTCTAGTTACAGGAGGCGAGAAAAGACAGGAACATCAAACTGAGGGCAAGCGACGCGGCCATCGCGACGGCTACCCGGTCACCGCCAACCTGGCGGGGCTCGACTGCCTCCTGAGGGATCCCCGGGTATCCCCCGGACAGCCCCGGTACGCCTTTCCCCACGGTGCCCTTTCAAATAGCATGAGAGCGTTGTGCGAAATGGTTCGCCCCCCCCCCCCTGCCCCTCTTCCCTAAATCGCGGAAATAATTTTATGGTGAGCACTAAACCCTTACACATTTTTGAGCATTAACATGCAGAATTTTAAACAGCCATAAGTATATGCACACTGTTTAAGCAGAACTATATACAAATTGCACATGACTGCATGACATTAAGCATAAATTTATTGCCGTTTGAAATACTGCATGTTCGTACCCAAAATAAATTATTAACACTTCCCAACAACGCGGGTCCGTTTACCAACCGTTCAAATGGAATGGGGCAGAGGGTTCGCGACCCTCTAAGAAGCAGAGCTACTTCAATTTTGCACAAAATGTTTACCGGCTGTAGTAAATTGAGGCGATCCGATCCCGACGTAAGAATAACGCTGGCAGGGCGGGGCGTGCCGCTGCGGCAAGGATGTGGTTTAGTTCACGATTGCGCACAAAATTAGAAAGTTTTTTTTAGGAAGACTGTTTTAAAATTCGATTTGAACTGAAGTTCAGGACTGAGATCGTGAATGTGTAAACTGTCAACAGAGCCGCACGACCTACCTTGGCTGTGAAGTTGAGGAGCGGAGACGATGTGATGCTTGCTGGAGCTGGACCTCGACTGAGACTGAGACTGAGAGCCTCAGTCCCTGGGGCTGGGGCCTGTGCCTGAGCTGGGGCCTCCTGCCTGGGGCTGGGGTGGAGCGAGCTGGAGGCGAGGTCACAAAACCCGAGCATAACCGGGCGGCCGGGCGTCGGGTGGGCCCGAGCCCAGGGCTTCCCCGGTCGTCCAGGCCGTTGTGGCAGGTACCGCTCCCTCCGTGCTGCGTGCTGGCGAGGGCCAGCTTAGCGCTGTTACAGACGAGCATAGCCAACGGGGATTCACGCTAAAAAACAATGTCTGGCGTCTGCCTTTCTGTGGGTATTTCTGTCCACCGCGCGTGGAAAATGCGGAAACAAGAATCTCCTCAGAGTTTGATAAAGACTCAAAATGGCGTTCCTGAATTCTTTCAGGGTCGCTTCGTACCATCAAAGTACAGATTATGTTGTTAAAAAACGCTCACAAAACACATAAATATGGCCGAAAAAATAAGCACTTGTCGTCGTCACTAAGTCGTTAAAAAAACCTGCGGGAAATGTCGACGGTACGCCCCTTCAATGTGTCATTGGGCCCGCGACCTTAATTTTGGATTGCAGTCCACTCCAAACACGATGTACCATAACTTCGCAAACTGTCTTGTTGGTCAATACATCACTTGACTTCACTGAAGTACGTACTGCACATATCTTTACTGTCTGGCCCGTACATAAAATATATGGAACGGGAAATCAAATACCAAGTTTACCGGCGTACACCAGTGTACACCGTGATCAAGTATTCGAGAACGGCATGGACGCGGACGGGGGGGGGGGGGGGGCAGGCCTAAGCCCCCTGCCCGGGAAGCCCGGCGAAGCAGGATAGCCGGAGCCCGGAGCTGGACTACGCTCATACACAGTCTGTCGCCAGCGACAGTCTTCTTGTGATCCTGTGCCAGTGACGGACTAAAGATGGAAAACTTTCAGCCGGCCGAAGTTTGCCAGCTGTCGGATCCGCTCGAATCGGTACGTATTGTTATCTTAGTTTTCAATAGTATTCGGTTCAGACGCGACCGTTTAAAAAGTACCGCACTTCTTTGAGTGTTAAGTTAGTAGAGCAAGTTTATATAAGTTAGTACGGAATAATTTCACATCACCATCCGTGGTCTGTACACTGGAAAAATAAAGGTAGAACTTAATGCCTCTCTACGGCTGGAATTTTAGTGCCTTTGCAAAGGCACGAAGATATTCACACTGGAAACGCAAGTGTTATGTGAATGTCGCACAGTTGTAGGTGTGTGAATTCGCACACTGAGGCTGTTTTTCTGGAAAAAATTCACACGTTTACCCCGTTAAGTGTACGAATGGATATTCACACACTTTCGTTTCCAGTGCAAAGGCATTAAATTTTTACATCTCTGAGAAGTTTTAATGCATTTGCAAGGGCGTTAATTTTTAATGTCTTTGTAAAGGCATTGAAATTGAAACCCTTCGAATCCTACCTTTGTTTTTCCAGTGTATCGGTACCTCAAAGGCCCAATACAAGGTCTGGCTAGCAGAGGGGGCGATGCACCGCGTGTTGCCTACACGCAGGGGTTTTAAAGCACAAACCGCCTACAACTACTGTATTAAAGCACGAAAGAAAAGCCGAGGGCCGGGGGGG